TTTATGTAATTTTGTAATTTAAATTTTAATGCCTTGTTTATAATATATGACAATCTAAATATATATAACTCAAAGGTGACTGACAGTGATCTATCAACTCACAACCTAAACCACTGGACGGATCGGGCTGAAATTTGGCATCTGCTAAGAAACGATTTTGATCAAATTTAACTCCAAGGGGATAAAATAGGGGATGAAAGTTTGTATGAAACTTCGTCAATTTTAAACCGATCGGGCTAAGACTTTGCATGATAAAGCAACTATGACGTAGCATCCCCTAAGAAAGGATTTTGATCAATTCTACCCCCAAAGGGATAAAATAAGGGATGAAACTTTATTTCAGGTATTTTACACAATATAATGAATAAATATTCGTTAGAGATGCTGCTCAAAGTAAATTTACCACGCGGACGAGGTCGCGGGCAAAAGCTAGTCATTTATATTTTACTTTTATATATTATGTATGTACATATGTATATTTATTGACTATTAATTTTATGATGTAATGATGTTTTAATGTTAATTTGTGTATTATATGTTTAATAATTAGATTTATTAATTTTGCTTTCACCATCGCATTGGGCTACATCTGTGATGATAGTTATAAGTTATGAAATAAATAAAACTAAAACAGAACATTTTGATACTATAAATAAAAAAAAAAAATTATAGTATTTTCAACATCTAAAACCGGATAAAACAACATCAATAGGAACGAAAACCACCGAACTTATTGATTAAGCGGTTTTCACCAATGGATTGATTTGAGGTGATAAATCGTTGAAGATATTAGAAAAGTTATGTCAATCGGGAGCTTACTACACGTAAATTTGCTATTAATATATGGATTGGCAGCTTAATTCTCACTTGAAGCTTTCAAAGAAGATAAGACATGATTTTATTCTACTTAAACTACTCGCTAGGAATCTGCGGTGAAGATATGTAATAATAACATAGTCGATGTCTTTCTTGGCCATACTGCAAGGCTAATCACCAGTTATACCAGTTATCACATCCAAACATTGATAGCTGATTAGCAGGAACTTAAATATTTGTAAAAATATATAAGGCGGTCGTCATAATTTTTTCATTTTAATATCAACTAAGTCTTCCTTAATTTTAGGCGAAGATACGCCGAATAATTATATAACTGCAATAAATCGGTTACTCGTTCGACAATTTTTATTGACTTTGTCTAAAGATGCCAAACGAAACAAAACCAATAGGACTTCTATTTTAGGCTCAAGCAAATATTGATACGGTAAGGAAAGTAATGGATAAATAGAAATCTTTTGGTAATCAATAACGGATAACTATATCCGATTGACTGTGGAACCGACTGTTAAGACTACAACAGTTTACTATAGTAACACGAATATGGATAAACAATTATAATTATTGCCTCTATCAAGAATGTAAATATTAAAATGAACTATAGACAAAGACATTAAGTATGAAGTATTTAAACAAATTAGCAAATACATTATTGTTTCAGGAACAAAACTCTTCAAATTAATTTTGATGTTACCTTTGTACCTTATGGCTATACAATTTTATAATGGAAACTTTCAAATTGATGATCAGTTTGTTTGGACATAAAGTTAGCTCAATCAAAGTGTTATCTTTTGTAGCAATAATATATTTTAATTTTATATAAAACGGAAGATATATAATCTTTATAATATTAGTAGGTAATTTTACAAAGACTTATTTAAACAAATGCGAAACAGTCCAGCCATGATCTTGCCGTTAGATCATAACATATCCATTAAATTTATTCAAAATTCAGTAGGTAAAGAATTTTAACAAAAAAAGGATGTGTTACAAACGGGTCATTTTATGATAGTGGTTGATTATGGAAGACCAAATAGCAACCAAACAATTAAAATTTATTGTAATGCAGCAGGTAGAGGGCCGTACACCATACACTACACTAGGTAAGTAAAATCGACATTTGAAAATAATAGGTACCATTTCCTAAAGTAGGTACGTATCTGCAGAAAACAAAAACCATTTTGTGGAAACAAATATGAACCGTTAGACTGTACCCAGTCAAAAAGATAAATGAATCTTTAGTTACAACAAGGACACAAAAAAAAATTGCTAAAGATTTCTTAGGCACCATAGATAACGCAGCATGTGGACATTGGGTCAACGGTTTGAGTTGGTCTTAACAAAAACCAAAGCCTATAAAGATCTAAAACGTCGAAATGTGACATCAGTCTATATCAGTAAAATTACTAGTGACCAAATCGTTCGATATTAGAAAAAGTTTGGTTTAAAGCATAACTCTTAGTTAATAAGCACTAAGTGTAAGAGTTATTTGAATGGAATTCAAAACTTACGATACTCATATGAAACTTGAGAAGAAGATCAAGAATCTCACTAAAATTCCTTTTATGCCATTGTTTTGATATTTCATCAATCAAACTAAAACAAAAGATTACATACAAAAATGGTCGTCATAGAAACTATTGATTTGTTGTCGCTGATCTATCATTGTCTTTAACAGAGACTCAAATAATATTTAAGTTGTTTTGATAATATTCAATGTGGAAATTCTAGGCTTGTGTCCTACAAGTGAAAATACAGGTTTTTGTTATATCTTCGAAAAATATGAACCATTTAAACTTATAAATGTTTATCAAAACAAATTTTAAGTCACTGATTTGGAAAATATTACGCTTTGAAACTTGAAAAAGTAGAGAAAATCTACATTAAATTAGATATAAAAAATGTTACAACTTTCATTATAACGGCTATAAACATAAACGCACAAATAACAAAGATATTACAACAAATGTCCAGATGCCCATACATTTTTCGCTACTGTAGCACCGTGTGAATGCCTTGCCTTGCCTTGAATTTGTAGGGAACGTTTTCGGCCAATTAGCAGCAGTTCTACAAACACAGCACCGTATCTCCGAAACTATTATTCGCAGACATGCTGTTACTTCGACATTATTTCTCAGATGTTAATAGACTATTTATTTATGAAATAAAAAAAGAGTTGTCAACTAACCTATTTTTATAAATAAACATGAAGTTTGAAGAAGTTTGTTACAATAATGTAGTACAAAACAGTTGACGCATATAAGCAGAATATCAAGCATGACGTAAAATTATGTTTAACGATTTTGAAACACAAAACCTAGGAAAATAATCTAAGTCTTGATGTCTTAAACACAAGTTTATCAAATGGTTTCGTGACACAGTTTTTGCAATAAAGTAAAAGAGAGCTAACAATTATCATATTATTTTTAGCGTTTTTAGAAATGCTGCCCAACGTAAATATACCACGCAGACGAAGTCGCGGGCACAAGCTAATCTAGAATTAATATCGTCACCAACATCCAGTGGACGTACCGGATTGAATTAAAAATGAAGTCAACATTCTGTAAACAAATACGATTTTTAAGACTTCAAATTTAAAAAGGAGAATATAATACAATAGACTATAGTACATTTTTAAGTTAGAAAAGTTGGATAAATAAGGGATGTGAATGACTGTAACTTTTTAGTTGCAGAGTTGCTGGAGTGAATCCAGTTAGACCAACTAACGTGCGTAGCATGACAAACTCCAGAGGTCGAGAGTGAAATATGCCAGCATAATATTCCACTCTAGCTCGTTCCTCTGGTTGCGCGGGCAGGCGTTTGGACATCGACTGTGAAAACTAACTACAGAATAATTCCTGGTAACATCATGTATATCAAACATCTATTCTCCTTATATAACAATCCAGATTCATACATTTCTTTTTATCACATTATACAAAGCAAAACTGATAATGTATGTATATTACAATTTTCTTATTATTATGCATGGAAAAAGAATTTAGCCCTGAAGAAACCGTGATTAATTTGTAATAGAGCCCTAAATGATGTCAGGGAACGCTGTAGTACTGCACGTATCGTGGCAAAGCTGTTTTCATGGTTGGAGGGAATATTGTAAATGCACTTGCATTGATAAAACTTCTTGAAAGCAAAATCTTGAGCCAGAAAGTGTAGCTTGAATTGGGTTTGTCAGCTAGTATTTGAAATTCGTAATAAAATTCAAAGACTATTCATCTGAAAGCTGGTGTCAGTATAAGAGAAAACAGAGGCCTGCTACATTCAGACATGTGAAAGAATGAAGAAACTTACACTTCGATCAAATTGATGAGGTCATATCGAATGGTGACTGGAAAATTAAAATCGACGAACGCATGTATGGAGAGCGCCACTTCAAAATGGAAGACGTTTGTGATCGCAATTACGTAAAAGAATCAGGCTTTATTTTGTAGTAAGTTTCTGCAAGACCTGCTGTGCACTGCCCGTACACAAATTCACATGTGTAAACGGCAACAAATCTCGCAAAACTTACCACTCTACACGTGTTTTGCACGGGTGTGAAGGTTGCTAGATATCATAGTTTCACGGAAGTTTGTGATCGCGCCTTATGGTGCTAGGTTTACCCTGGAGATCACGCAAGTGACCTGGCGTAAAGCTGGCATAGAACTTAGGTAATTGAATAAGACAACTGTGTCATGATGACTAACATTTGCAACGTGTTATTATTTATGGTAGATTAATACGAAATTGGTGACTTGGAGGGTAACACTAATGAGTTAAATTAAGATGTTACATAAATCACTTCAACAGAGTAACTAAGAGGATAAAAGTTTCTAATAACCCTGATTTGACTGGGATATTTTTATTTCAGTACTCTAGAATTACTGAGATGGAATGCAACAAATACAAAATGGGTGTGTACTGAATATTCCCAATAACTGAAAATGATCTAATAAATAACTGAATATAAAAGAAATTGCATGTTTAGAGTTTAGACAAATTAATAGATGATTTCCTTCAATGTCATTATGTTTAACAAAGAATTTTGTCAGTGGTGAATTTCACTGTTTTAGTCTCTTAGTAAAAAAAAAGAACAGAACACCCAAATAGCGAATTTGATATTCATATTCGGTAATTTAATTAAATAAGTAAACAACAATTCTACTTACAGTCTTTGATGGAAGTTTTCGTTTTTGCTTCTTCTGGTCTTCATTGACGAGAAGTCCTGTAGATTTCACTGTATTGTTTGTTGCAGATGCTTTAACAGTCAAGTCTTTTATTTCCTGGTTCGGAATCTCATCACACACACTCCGTACAGCACAATCCACTTCATCTAAAGAGTTTTCATCATATAGAATGCCATCTGTCAAATCACTCATTGTTCTTGATAGTGTATGGGTAAGTTTTGTCTCTTGCACGTCTTCAGTGTCACTCGAATCTGCCTCCGAATCTGTATATTCCGATTCGGATTCATCAGAATCGCCAAATACATCATTTGAAGTATAACAACTGTATGGTGATTCTTCAAACACAATAAAAGAGTCTTCAGAGTCGCAATCTGACATCTTCCTCATTCTTGTGTCTTTTGGACTGTCACTGAAAACGATTTGGAATGAGTCTTCACTTTCAGTGGCCGATGTTGAACGGAAACGACCACTGACTTCATCAAAATAATCATCTGTATCATTAGACACATCTGTAGTTTTTACAAATGAAACAGAGGTATCAGACAGTCTATCCAAAGAGTTTACTGATGGAGAATTTCCAATGCTTGGCAAAGTGTCAATATTGATCTCCTGAGCAAATAATAGATCATCTTGTATACTCTTTTTGAGGTTACATTTCTTACGTTTACTGGTTGTGCGGCAAGGATTTTTAAAGCACTTATCCTTTACTTTCATGTTTGGTTTCAAAGACTTCACGTGTTTATCGTTACTTTGCATTGTTACTTTGCTACTGACATCAGATGAGTGATTATTCATTGTCTTCTTCTTACATTTTTCTTGGAGTAATGCTTTCAGTTTCGACAATTTATCTTCGCATGATGAAACCACTTCTGGTTTGCATGGTTCATCTTCTATATTATCAACAATTCTGATGTCCTCCATTGCTTTTATCTCTGTGGTTTGCTTTACTGGTATGTCATTGGTTTCATTGATAGTTTTCTTACACTTAATAGGAACTTCTGGTAATATTTTTATATCTGTGTTCTCATGAACAACTTTTTCGATTTTTATCTTTGAAGCTGCTGTATGCAACAAATTCTGATTCTCAATTGGATATGTACCATAATACTCAATGTATGTGCTATTGGAAATTCTAATAAAATCTTCTGGTGTGAATGCATCTTCGAAACACTCATCTACTGAGCCTGCTTCTACAAACGCCATTTTAAGTCGTCTCTGTCAAAATTTAAGTTTATCATCTGGTTTATTCAACAATAACAACCTTACCTTATACAGTTTACAAGCACTTTAGAATCGGCAACTACGCCAACATGCGCCAAAGGGGGGTGGGAGAGGGGAGTGGGAACACACTTCCCACCACACGCCAAAGCGCGGAGAAGTATTGTTAAGAAGGAAAAAGACAAAGAAATTTTTATTACTATATATACATCCAGATAATTAAATTTAGACCTTATTTTATAGACATTTTTTAGGTTTTATTTTCTCATGAAAAAATATCAAAATATATGCTATACGAAAGTAGGAAGACTAAAATACTTATACTGTTATCTCTTAAAAAAATAAAACCACGAAATTCAAGACAATCGCTACGCTATGCTTCGCGATTGTTTTAAATTTCTAACCTAGCATGTGATCTATAGGGCTAAAACAACTTAGGTTATTTGTTATTTTTGTTATCTGTTAAAAAAATAACCACGTTTTGGATGTATGCATATAAATTCCTTTGCCTAGTTAGTGATTAAGATAAAAATATATGTCAAAGTTCATAAAACATCAAACAAAAGTTAAATTTTACATGTTTTAAAATTGGATCTCGGTAAATAAAAAACTCTGCACCTTGACACTTTGGAAAATGAAACTTCTTTAGCATCTGTGTGTATGAAAAAATATTAACACAATCTGCGTAGTCGCCGATACTAAAGCTGAGCCCAATCCACATATGGCCAACAATTTTTGAAACAAAACACATATTATTAAGAATTCCAGGCTGTGACAATGAGATCATTGTTGATGTAGTTAAAGTACAACTGCAAGGTTTTTACTAATAGGGGTGTCAACACCAAGCTCCGGGTATACCTCCACGCTTTCGAAAATGCGTAGTTTTAAAGATATAAATGTTAGAAAAAAAATTGTATCGTAAATCTATAAAAAAAAACATTGATTTCTATTAGACAATGATCTCTCACTGAATGGGGGTGGAGGAGGGGAGCCGGAGGGGGAGGGGGATCAAACCACCGGTACACCTCCCCGCTTTCGAAAATTTGTAGTTTTAAAGATATAAATGTTAGAAAAAAATATATTGTATTGTAAATTTATAAAGAAAATATTGATTTCTGTTAGGGGCAGTTTTAACCTACTATTCTGGTAGCGGCTCATTACGTGTGTCAATTTGTTTTCTGTTACAGGATATCACGACAATATAATTTAAATTTTTGTTTAAAATCTGATAAAAGAAATATGATTTGAACGGCAAACTTACAATTCGAGTTAGACTTTTTCTTAAGTGACGAGTTATAAAATCCTATTTGAGTTGCATTGACAACTATCAGTATGTCACAAAATGGCCACCTGTCTGCCACTGCCATCAAAATGTTTCGTTTTAAGCAACACCATACATTTTTAATCAGTTTTTTAGTAACAAAATTTTAGTTTAAAAATGTTCGCATTATATTTAATCCATTTTTTTTAAGCTATTAGTCATATTAAAAAGCAAGACATAACATCTACGAGTAAAGTTAAAAAATAAACCGTCAAAATAAATCAGTTTTTGATTTATTATTTACACAAAACTATAAGTTTCTGAGATTTAATATTTTGGTAATATGTTTAATAAATTATTATCTTTCCAATAGTGACAACAGCGAACATGAAATCGTGGATCATTAATCTAAACCTGAGCCACCTCTCTTACCAAACAAGGTGATTAATTGATTTTTAATACTTGCCAACTTTCAAATTTTCCAGAAGATTATATAGTTTAAGGAAAAAGGATAAGTGTTTATTCTCATTAAATATTATTAACATAATCATAAAAACTACACCTAATTATAAAAGAGGTTATAGTTCAATGTACTTTTCAATCAGATAGTTTAGTTAAGTATGCAGTTTTTGAATGATTCGTACACAAATTATATTGACCTCTTTGTCCTCTTGTGTTCTTTAAATTGTTAGTATATTAAATTCTTTACTCATGAAAGTAAATAAACTACTATTTATTCATAGAAATACAATATAACATACCATCTATATCTTGTTCTTTGAAATAACGTGCTTGAAAATACTATTTAGCATTTAAGTATTGTACGTATGTAAACTTAATACTTAAATCTAAGTGATGCTATAAAAATAAGATACGTCCGGGCAATTACCATTTTTGAAGAAACGTAATAAACAAAATATATAAAAATAAAGACACATTAAACTTCACTTCTGACCACAGAACACATATACGCCTTCTGCTGACCACAGCTTGAAGCTTCTGACATAGGAATGGGCAAAAACTATCGATATATCAAATTATCGATATTTTTTCTAAAAATATCGATATAAAAAAGCGATATATTTTTCCCGCGATATGTCGGCTTTCGATATTTATTTTCAGATATCAAATTCGTATCAAATTCGATATATTTTATTAATTTCTGGTGTCTGCACATGCGTCACATCATGTATTTCTTAAATTTAGAAAAAGAGTATGTGGACAGTAGGCTGTATGAGTTTAGTCTATGACCTGTTTGTGTTTTTTGTTTGTCTTTTTATTTGACAGTGACACTGCTTGTTGGTTTAGTTGGTATCACTGAGTGTGCTACTGATGACAATATCAGAGAAATGCACGTTTGTTTGAACAATCTAATTTTGGTTCTGTCAATAATGTTTTTTTCTTAGCCTTATGTGCCTATTTTAAATAATAAACCTGATATCAAAACAGCCAGGTGTGTAGTTGCTTCAAAATTTCGAATATTTTAAAATTATCATTGATAATCGCTCATTACGCAGAAAATATCGATATATCAATATATCGATATATTTATGACGATATTTATCGATATATTTGAAAAATATCGATTCGATATTTTTTTCCCATTTGCCCATCCCTATTCTAACAAAACTTCACTTTTTTTTTTTATTCGTACTAGTGGTGTGCGGAGTCGATTACCATTAATCGATTATTGATTTTTAAAATAACCCGTTACTATCAATTATGATTTCATAATCGAAAATTAACAGTCGATTATTTCTTTAAACGTTAGCAATAGGAATAGTTTAAAACGTTAGTATAGTACCTACTTACTTCGATGGCTCAGCAACCCTTAACGGATCGTGTGTGAATATTAGTAGTAGATTTTCTATTACTTATAATGGCTACTCTGGTATACTCTCACGAACACGAATGTCAAATAATACTGTATTTTGCAATGTTTCATTCGTTTCATTTTAAAACGGGCAGAGAGAGATAGTAGGTTAGTAACTCTTCATCTCTGTCTTAGTCGTTTTGTAGGATGTCCATTTAATTTTGTTACATGACTTTATTAAACATTTACAGATAGAACTTTATAAATTTTTACATACAATAATTTAACTATTTTACAATATTTTACATATAATATCAACACGAGATTGAACTTAAATCATACATCATAATACATAAATAAAACATTTCAAAAAATCTACCTACAAATCATCAAGAACAGTGCGTTTGTTACTACTCCTACTTAATTTAATGAAAGAAATAGTTAAGGCTATATTTTCGGCTAAGCATTCTTGTCCAAAGATTGTACGTTTATAAATTTAACCTACTACGCACCTACCGTTCATATGAAGAGAGATTGAAAAGATTTAATTTGCAATCGTTGGCAATTAGGAGAGGGGTCCTAGATTTAATGACATTATATAAAATTGTAAACTTTTTAAAATTGAGTCCTCTAATTTATTGTCTCAAATGAATTTTAACACTAATTATCGCACAAGAAGACCTAAAATGTTTACACTTAATGTGTATCTTAATAATAGTTCTTACTATAATCCTATATCTAGAATGTGCCGCCGCCGATATAATGAACTCATTGGTAATGGATCGGATATTGATATTTTCAACTGTAATACATTAACTTTTAGGAGAAAACTTTTTAACGCATCGGTGTAATTTTTTACTTTTTTTTAAATTAATATTTAGTGAATTATCGATGTTATTCAAAATTCAAAATTATAATTATAAAGAATGTAATAGTTATTTAAGTATATAAATGTATGTTTTTGTTTAATTTGTGTTTGCAGTATGTACATGTGAAGGGTCGCAACCTTGATAACTGTAAAACATACTTTTAATTTGTATTTTCACCCGGTTGTCACCTGTTTTGTACATCTTAATAAATAAATAAAATAACTGATAGTTAAGTTTTTATTTATCGGTAAAGATATTTATTTTGAAGGAAATAAAACAAGTACATAAATGTTATCGTAATCATATTTAATGATACCTATAGAGTTTAATTAATATGCACAACTTAATTTTAAAGATAACAAAAATTACACTTTGACATAATTTACTTAACAATACATTATTAAAAAGAATTGTTTTATGCAATCTTTAGCGCATTGAAATGCGACTACCCATAATTTTAATAGCTTCCTCTTTAGCATAAGTTTATATCCTCATATTAAGACATTTATTTGTTAAACATCTTATTAATTCTATTTGATGTTTACATTCAGTTGTCTGTACTGGACGAGGAACATCATTTAAACGTATATAAAGTGTTGTGTGATTATGTTTATCATTTATTTTCCTTTAAATTCATTCTTTTATTGCAAAGTCAAAGTAACAAACATTTTTTCGGTGAGCTTTACTATATCAAATATAAATTTTGAAACATACTTAAGAGCACCTCTATCTACATAGGTATATTGTTAAACATATGTAGAAAATTCACATATCGCACTCCTGGTGCGACACTGTCACTTATGCAAAAATTTAGTTTTTCAGGAGAAGAGTTTTAAACTCTGTAACCTCACAAAACAATGACTTTAGAAGATACAGATGAGATGAATTATATGGAACATAGTTCCGTATGATTCATCTACAAAAGTAACATTATCGCACCAAGTAAAGGGGGCTTTAGGACAATTATTACATATTTAACTAATTTTTGTATTTTTTGCAAAAGTGACAGTGTCGCACCGGGGTGCGATATGTCAACGATGTAATTATGATCCTTGTGGCTCGTCCTTAGTAAGGCGGCTTTGCAATACTCACATGTCATATTATTATTTAACATTTTTTCCAACAATATACCCTGATATGTAGTACAGATTATTGTTTCTGAAATCAGAAATGTTTGTTTTTTCTATTAATTGTATTAGAATACAACGGAACATTTTGTCACTTCCTAGAAACATAAGAGCCATTTTGTCATGGCCAGCATAATAAAATAATTACTTTATAAATATTTATTCAAATTGATATGTAGGCCATTCAGATATTTTTCTTAACATAAGTAAACTAGTTCTCGTTTTTCATTTTCCAAATAACTTTGCACCTACCATGAAAATATTCAAGCTTCTTGGGAATTTATGATATAAATTTCACAGTGCAGAACTTTTCAATAAACATTTTTACTGTAATTTAATTTTTAACAGTTTGAAGAGCTTCTGTTCGTCGCCTTTACTACATAACTCAAAATTACGGCTAGCTTATAACAAACGAACGATAACTGAAAGAGTTCGTGAACACATCATGGCTTTAAAAAACTGCCAGATAAACAAATCGGTGATCACAGAACATCTACTGGAAAGTGACACAAACCACTTGCTTGATCGTTTAATATAGCTGCGATACATAATAGGGATCTTGTTATTGTTGTACGTGACGGTACCTGGGGAAAAAACTGGACGGTGGAAGTAGATTCCACTTCAGAGAAGGATACGGAGCATCGTAGCAACAGTCAGCCAGTGACCACGGCCGGTGTAACCCGGTCGAAATGTCGGGAAATATAGGTAGGTGAAAAACCTAACTATCAATCTATCGCGTTAACACCCGTTTAAAACAATCTAATTATATGCAACGCGAAAGTTAATATAAGCATTTGGATGATATGTATTGTCGATGTTGTTGTATTTCATGTATTTCAGCTAAAAACAAAAAAGATTGCGTATTTTGAATTCATTTAAAATCCGAAAGGAGGATTTTCGATGTTCATGGAATATGTATCTTTTCTTATGAAAGTAGGTATGTTAATCGATTTCTTTTTGATTCCCGTAGAATGGAAGACTTCTATAAATCAGTCCAATTGTTTCGGAGCCTATCTTATGCTTTTAGTAATATTGATTTTTCTGTATAATAGGTAACACTAAAAATATAAAATATCTATATAAATAAAAATATTCAACATAGAAAAGAAGATTTTGCTTATTTGATAGAATGTGATTTTTTTCTAAAATTCTATACTCATATTATTAAAAGGATAGATTGGATTGCTTGTTTGTTTGATTTGAAAAGGCTCCGAAACTTTAGACCGATTATAAAATTCTTTCATCAACGGGAAGCTTAATAATACGCGGGGAACGTAGGCTATAATTTACGCAAGCGAAGTCGCGTGGAACAGTTTGTTTAATAGAAATTGGTTTACACTTCAAGAAGAAATCGATGACCTACCTATTTTAATAAAAAATAAAAAGCATATTTCGTTATAAAATGAAAATTACTCATTTTACTTAAATGGGACCACCTCGGTCCATTGAATTGTAGAATAAAAAAGATTTTGAAAATTGGTCTACAATTGACGGAAATATCGGTGAACATATAGTAGGTACCTATATAAAAAAAATACCTTTTCGATTTTGTGATCGGTTAAAAAGCGACTTACTCAAGAAACTACTATTGAAGTAGGCTTTAATAGCAGTTTCTTGAGTAAGTCGCTAAAGTTTGAAGTTGGTCCTTTTTTTTTAAAAAGTTTCTATTAGTTTTTGTTATTATAGCGGAAATAAAAATAATATGTGAGCAGTTTAATTCCCGTATTAAGCTGGCACATTGCAGTATTATAGTTTTACGGCAAAATAAACTTACTGCTATCAAAGATGAAAAAGTGGATAGTAATTGAATCGATTTTTATTAAAAAATATTTTTTAATCGATTAAATTCTTGTTGCTATTTTCGAGGGTAATTCGCAAAGTTTTAACTCCATCAATAGAAACTTAAATACTTTGTGATATCCGTTTACAATCGTAATCGTGAGCGTCGCGTTTCTTGTATCCGAATATATTATATAATATATTATTCGGATACATCTTTTAAAAACCTCGTTAAAGCTATTATTTCAGAAGTGAAGCTGAATAATGTAAGTCTATATAAAAATAAAGAAAAATTTGATAACTCTTCATTATA